TGTATATTCAAGTAGTAGCTGTATATATACACATTTCTATTCACAACTATCCAACATTAATTTCAACTGACTTGTGCAAGAATGTACACACTAATACAAGGTAGTTTAACTTCATCATTATCTTCTTCTATTCACATTCAATCATTTCAATTCAAATGGAAACACAAATTCAGCAACAATCTTTTGGTGACCAGTCAGCAATCTTAGGTTCACGTTATGCTTTTCTTTTTTTAAAGACAGCAACTTGTTTAATTCTTAAGAAATTTCAATTCGTAACGCATTAACTCTGCACGGTGTATATCCGATTCCATCATGTTTCTAAAAATGGAAGTTTCTCTTCTTTAGTTACTACTTGTTATTAAGGTATCCTCAGATCTTAGTGTAATGAGTAATGAGAACTGAAGGAATTGACTTAGTCAAGATTATTCAACAAAATTGGCACAACATTATTCATGCTATTCTCAAAGAGAGGCGAAAGATAAACGTGATAAACCTCTCTCGTACGTATTAATTTTTTTAGTTTTGTTTTTTATTCATGTACATTATATTCATATTTTCCTCTCTTTTCTAAATCAATGATTTTCATAGATTTTTTTTTTTTTAATGTATGGGGATTTTAAGATTCAAAATGACTTACACTCAAGTTAAAGAGTGTTGGAATTGATAATAATTTACATCATTTATAGAATACTGCTCATAATTCAAAACACAGTAGGTTCTAACATGCGTAAAATGCCAAATATGTAACATGTGTAAAATAAACTCGCGTTTTGCCAGTCATTTATTTGAATCAGATGCATTATACTAAAACGTATAAGTATAACGTATAATAACGAATTAAGTGTATGAGTCTTTCTGAGTGCTGTCTCTGAAATTAGCGCTTGTTTTGTTTAAGTTACTGTGTTATTTAGATGCGATTGCGCATCATCTTAAATTTGAAATAACATTCAAATCTGTTCAGTTCTAAAGGACACATTTCACTTCATTTTAACAGACATTTCAATCCTATTATCTCAATGAAATAAAAATATATTCCCTATCTTGCATTAATATCTCTAATTTCAGCTACAAAGGATTATTTCCCTCACCATAGCGTCTTCTTTAAATAGTTGCTATTTTGTAATGAAGCTAACGCAGGAACTATTCATAATTCAAATTGAAAATGTTTTTCATACGTTTCCAAAAAAATATAGGTTACACAAACTATTCTAAAGCGTAAGACTATTTTAAAATATCATAATTAATTTTATATTACCACTAGTATTCACTCGAGGACAAAATATTTGTAAATATAGAATTTGTTAAAAATGAAAGAGCCTATAAAATAAAGGTATAGCCAAAGCCGGACAAGGAATCAGAGCTTTGTATAGGGAGATATATTCTTAAATTTGAAATAAAGAACGATAAATATTCGATTGAAAATGGTTTATCTAGTAACGCGTCTGATTAATCTTTTGTGGTCTGCATATTTTTCTATTCGCAGGCGTTTGTCATGCGTGCACCGAAGTGGTGACCTCTCACCGAACAAGCATATCGTTACATTCACCTTTACACTTCATTGTCAGAGAATTAAATGTCATTCAATTGCCCTTCATAGTGCATTCATCTATGATTGTCCTGTTATATTACTGTCCCATGTAAGGAAAACATGTTAACCCGACCCAGTTTTTATGTTGCTGTTCCAAATTAGCAGCCTGTAATGAAGTTTTGGTCGTAGATTTCTGTCTGTCATATTTCTTTTTCTGTTAATTCAGATCGTTGGTTATTTCGTTTGAATTAGATCCAATTTTGTAATGTCGAGTTCTAATATAGATAACTATACTGTATTAGTTTTGATTACATGCATTTTAGAAGGCCGCAGTGACCTATAGTTGATAACACCATCGTCAATCGGACTCTGGCGGGAAGTTGTCTCCTTGACAATCAAACCACATCTCCTAATTGTTATATTGTGTGAACAATAAACTTAATGTTTTGTTTTATTTTGAAATCTAAAAATTACTCTTTTTATCTGAAATCAAACGTTTTTATTGTATCTAATTATCTATACTTTTTGTATGAAGATGTTTTAACTGATGACGACCTAGACATTAATAAATGTTATGCAATCTAAAACATAGGGCAATTTAAAATGACATTGCCACAGATGAATGCTGTATAATATCTTAAATATTTAAAAGTAAAATCGTACAGCATGTATGTAGCGATATTTTCTTCTCAAATTTTGAATATATGCAATCTTAATGACAAAACATCCAACAATGTTTCGTCAAGAAAACTAAGATTGAAATTGTGTACGCCAGAAGCGTATTTCGTCTATAAAAGACTCATCAGTGACGTTCGAATCAAAAAGTTAAAAAGGTAAAGAATTTTTCTTCGTGATTATCTTCATGGATATTTCAAATTTTACGTTTCACGTAATTATATACATCGTACAAGATACAAGACTTTTCCGAGGCAAGAAGGAATTTCAAACAAATGAATGTACACCTTGATTTCTGTATCGCAGGAGAACCTTGATTAAAGCTTCCAAAGACACACTGAATGTAACATCAGATCCCACCACAGAAATTCAAATCAATGATTTATGGTTTTAACTTCATGTTGTTACATGAAATAGACATAAGGTCATGTTTTTCTCTGACTGTTAATGACGTCTTTACACAAAATACATTGGGTGCTGGATGTGTACTGATTGCTATTCTAGTCTTAGATACATGATTTGTTTTATTAGTTGTTATTGGCTTTGAACAAGCTGTCACATGTGTCAGTAACTGCGAGTACTCCAAAATCTGTACTTAGTGTCCTTCTTGTTGTCAGGGATGAGGAATGGATAACTCCCCTGCCACTTCCGGTCTGTGTTTATGTTTGATGTTTTTCTTCTTTGTATCGATCTGATGAGTTAAGCCTTTTTCAACTGATTTTTATAGTTTGTTCTTATGTTGAACTGTTACACCACTGTCCTATATTAGGGGAAGGGTTGAACGCTAACAAACATGTTTAACCTCGCCACATTCTTTATGTGCCTGTCCCTAGTCAGGAGCCTGTAGTTCAGTGGTTGTCGTTGGTTCATGTCTGTCATATTTGATTTTTTCGTTGATTGTTTTGTTGTAAATTAGGCCGATAGTTTTCTCAATTGAATTGTTTCATAATTTTCATGTCGGGGCCTTTTATAGCCGACTATACGGTATGGGTTTGTTTCATTGTTGGAGGCCGCACGGTTGCCTATAATTGCTTACGTCCACTTTATTGTGAACTTTGGTGGATAGTTGTCTCATTGGGAATCATACCTCATCTCCTTGTTTTTATATACATGTAAGAGGACATGACATGTTACAAACTCTTTTTCAAAAATTACTTAAACCACAATTCATGCCAAAATTTTATCAAGAACCTACAAAAACACTATTTGATAAATGTTTAATCTGCAGATGTATAGATGATATATTTTCTGTACACAATACAGATTTTTACTAATTATTTAAATAAATATCTACAAAACCTTATTCATATTGAACCAAACATATATCCACTTGTATTCCATGATAATCAAATGCTTCTAAATTTATGGTTAACAGGACCATTTGTCCCTTTTTATTGTGCATTTTTGCTCCCGTGATGGAATATTTCCTTTTTATTGAGGATTTTTTTCTTAATTTGTTCGATAACCACGTATATGCAGTGAATTTTTGGATTAGAATAAACAGAATATAATCGTTGCACAAATCATTATCAAAGAAGTATGATTCCAACTGAATGAATGTAATTTATAAAAAGTCGAATTTCTCATCCAGACTTTATGATTAGAATTTTTATAAGTCTTACAAATATATGAACTGTTCTATAATCTCCCTGTTTGGCTTGATAAACTTAACTTTGGAAAAACTGTTTCACAGCTGACGACAGATATGTTTTAATTGTCGTACCCACAATTTCGTCCTCCTCTCCTCTAACGTGAACTACCGAATTAGACTCATTACCGGGTTTTTACTTACATAAGAACATGACGGATAACACAAGTGGAACAGGATCTCCTTCCCTTTTTGTAGCAATTGAGATCACCCTCGATTTTGGTGAGTTCGTGCTTCACAGTCTTTAGTTTTCTTTGTTGTGTTTTGTATACTGTTATTTGCCTTTTAATCATTTTTCTTTTTTTGCCACGGCATTGTCATTTGTTTTCCACAATGTTTTCGAAAATAAAATATGTATCGATATAATGAACATAAGTCAGATATACTTATCCTTCCCGAGCACCTGTAATCACTCTCGGTTATTGTTTGGGTTCGTATTGTTCAGTCTTTAGTTTTCTATGTTGTGTTTTGTATACTTGTATTTGTCTTTTGATCGTTTTTTTTTTCTTGCTATATTATTTGTTTTCGACTAATGAGCACGAACTTCCCTATGGTATTTTCACCTCTCTTTTAGTAAAAGATTACCCCATTGGTTTTTGTTCAACAACTATGTTAACCTTTTTATTAGTGCTAATCTGCTTATTGATAGTTTGAGGTAATATTCAAATGTTTTCTTCTTGGCAATTGCCATATTCATCTGGTTCGTGTCTTTATGAATTCTTCTATGATAAAAAGTGAAGGATGATATTATGTCTTTTTAGCAGGATAGGTATTGTGAGCTGTCGTTCAGTAATTTTAAGCGTTTTTCAATATGATAATGTTTGTTTAACTTTTTTGTGTTTTTGTGTTTTGTATTTCTGTATCCCATAATTTCAGAAAAGAAACCATTTCTTATTCTGATTTTAACTGCGGTTTTTTTAAGAATACATTGGGATTCCTTGATATACATATTGTATAGAAACCTTTCTTGTTGATGACTATATGTTACTCTCAAGATGTTGTAGTTTCTTTTTTGTCATTAGGTTGCCGTTTCATTGACCTTTTTCCACGTGTCTATTCATTCAGAAAGATAACTATATGGAGGTAAAAATGAAATAGCATACACTGCATAAAAGTTTATTATACGAAAAAACAGATGTGATAGTTTATAATGACATTGTAATTAAAAGTTTTATATTTTCATCATTTCTATTTTTGAACTCAAAGGAAAAGCTGGTGAAAGTTTTGTGTGACGATTTTAGTATGCATTGCCTGTTCATTTGTTTTTATAACATCTGCTTGCGTTAGGGCTATAACCAGCTTTACATTTGGGGTAACACTCTTGACTAAGATATCTGTCTTCGTCAGCATGACATTTAAGCCTTTGTATAAATGTTTTGCGTATACCTGGACCACCATTTGGGGTACAGATACAGCATCCACTTGCATGGTATCCTTCCTTACATTTCGGATAGCAAAGAAGTCCATTCAACTCTTCGTCTGATCCACACCCTTGTCGTTGGAACAGTGTCACCTTAATACCAACATCTGTTTTTCTACACGTGCATCCATCGTCATGGTAACCACTCTCACATTTGTTACAGCATCCGAAGATTGTGCAACAACATCCCTTTCCATATATATGGGCATCACTCCAACAACTGGTACCGTCATCTCGCATTCCAGATGGACATGGTGTTTTATCTGGCGATCGACCCACACCTCTCCCATAGCTATCTAGCCAACAACTTGTTCCATCGTCTCGCATATTAGGGGGACAATCTCCTACCTCCGCATGACGACCGTGTCCTCTAAAATATGATTCTTTCGCACCTTCCAAACAAATACCTGTAAAATCAAAACACGTGAAAAATATTTTGAAGCCGATTAAAAAAAATCGAAAAACATATATTCAAAACCAAAAGAAATCAATATGTCTGGTGACCTCAAAATTCGATTGTTTATTTGTACTGTGATGTTGATCACAGCTCTCAAAAATACTAAACAATAACTTATTAAATAAGTAAGGTCCTTTCAGTTAGTTTTTCAGACTTATCCTTAACGGGTAATTGAGTTCAGACAATCTCATAGCACCAACTAGGATGTGTATAGTCTTAAAGTCAGACTGCTCAGTTGCTGTAATTTACCTGTACGTCAAACTAAATAAGTTCCTTTATAATATTATTCCCAAAGGGAATAAATATTCTGGAATATTATTTCCATTGGGAAAAAAAATTTGTTCCTAAATGATTAGAAGAATATAGAATATTTGTTCCAACATGAACAGGTATCATAACATCGTTCATAACAACGTTTCCAGAACGACTTCGGTAAGGAGGAACAAATATATGTTCACAAATTGTCTGAAAAGGAACTAAACAGAACTGGATTTACAACAGGATAACATCTGAAAAATTACTTAAACTCTCAACAAGACTTTAAATTGTGTGTTTCAGAATATTCAGATGATATTACTTTCAAAATGACCGTTACAGACTAAAATTTATGAGTAGTTGTCTCATTAAGGTATATCTCAAGTTGCCATTGCTTGACAAACAAAATCAATTTCAGGTAAGTTTTTTTTTCATTAAATAAAGATTCGATGCATGTTTTTCGAAATACATGTAAGTAAAGCAGAGAATTTGTAATTTGCATCTTGAATAATCAAACATAAATATTTATAGCAAAACAGTTTTGCTTTTAGTTGAAAGACTACATGATTTGTATGGTCAACGGAAGTACAGATATGATAAAACAATATTTTATTTATTATATCATACATACTAATAAGTTAAGACATGATTAAATAGTATGCCGTATGAAGAATTGTACAATTTATAAAGTATATGAACAAATATCTAGCTTTTATACTGCAACTAGTTGTGTTTTTTTCCTAAATATAGTAACACAGCTATAGTTTGTGCAATGTCAATTTCATCATGGATCACTTTTTCCACAATCAGGGCTTCATTAAGGGATGAAAATAAGTTTGAAATGTGTGTTACAATTAAAATAGCTATCAATGTATTAATTTGTATTTAAGTGTAAAACAATATTAGGTCAATGTCAGAAAAATATAGACTTTTTTGTATGTGGCACAAAACTGGGGAAGGTCTCGGTAAAACCCAAGCCTTCCCTAGTTTCTCAGCCTCATACAAAAAAGTTTATATTTTTCTGAATATTGACTTAATATTGTATATTTATTTTTTTGTAAATATATAATTAACTTCACATTGACCTACAAAAAGGACAAAAAAAATATCCTCTTGCATGTAATCATGTATGATACGCGAAATGTGTTGTAAAGATACCCCAACGTTGTCACAGCTAGTTCCAAACACCAAACACTTTAAAGCAACATTTGTTTTATAAGGAAACATTTAAATCAATATGAGGAATTTATCAAACGTTCAAATGGATACACATAAGATCGCAAAATGTCAGTTCTTCAACGGAACATTAACCTGTTGCATGTTGTTTACTATCACATGGTTGATCATTTTGGATAAACGATGATGAACAACAATAGTGATGTGTCAAAATAATGATAAAAGTAGTTACGTTATGCATGATGTTGGTCCGAATTCCATTTTCCATAGATCAACATAAAATAATCAAAGCGTTGACTAATTAGCTCGGTAAAATATAATGATTTTTTGTTAAATCTAGAAAGGCTTGAAAATAAAGAGAATAGAAAAAGAATAGAAATATAAAAACCGAAAATCATATACATTTGTAACTTAATCATATCATTTCTGCACAAAACGTCCAACGTTTCGTTTTGTGTGCAAAACAACAGGGTTTCGTGTCTTTCATATCGTATTATTTCTCCGATCATCGTAAAACTTGACAACAACATTGATTTTGTTATAGTAATATGCATGTTAAAGCAAAATTAACAACATTGAAATCGTAAACCGGGAAATGTCATGTTTGTAAACGAGTCTAACAATGTCAAAGCATATGCAATGTTAGCATATATCGGGTTTGTGCATTTATATCGTGAAATTTGAAAAGCTGAGCGGAACAATATAAACATACATTCACTATATTCTTGGTTCTTGCCAGAAACATATGAGTATAATCACTACCGCAATGACCTGGAAATGTATAGCCATTGTGTGACAACGGGAAAAAATAACTTTTTTTTTTATTAAGTGAGATTTTGACTGGCTGCATATCAAATAAGTATGGTTAGATCACATAGAAAACTAAAAATGGTGGTAAGAGTACCTCGGATTTTTTAATTTCAAACTAAATAGTTTATAATGTGTTTCATGGGGAAACAAGACTTTAAAAACGTATCAAAAGTATATCCGTTTAGTCAAAACGTACGCAAAACTAACTGTTGTCATGGTCGTGTTTTGAAATTAGAATAAATATAAATATAATGATTTGTTTGCAATTAATTCGAATAAAAGTATAAAATATAACTTGTATAACTTAAGAATGAAATGTTTATCAAATGAGATTTACAATGTATATCGGGATCATCGTTTGTGAGTATATTTTGCTTTATTCCGTTCAGTTCGTGTTTGAATAAAAAAAAACATTAAAAAGTCCATTTGAGCACATTTAATATAAGTTACATATAATGGTAATACATTTAGGAACTGTTGCAATGCAGTATATTGTTAAAGAAAAAAAATGTTAAAAGAATATGCATACATACCTAATACCAAGATGAGACAAATCCTCGAAATTAACATTGTCAACTAGTTTATTTGTCAACAGTTGGAAGGGCAAAAACGCTATAAACGTAATGAAAATTTTAGATTTATTATGTAGGCAATGCAACACCCACATAAACATTGATCAATGTTAATCGTTGAAACTCCGCCTATGTCAGCATTTTGTTGCAGATTCAATACTGTTTTTATTTAAATGAGGAATTGTGTATGATGTAATAGAGAATTCTGAATTCGGCATGATGATTGATGTTTGGGTTTTAAATTTTACTTATAAATGTTATAGATATAAGAAGATGTGGTATGATTGTCAATGAGACAACTCTCCATCCAAGTCACAATTTGTAAAAGTAAACCATTAAGATATTTTTAAATTTGCAATTCCTTCAACCTCGTTACATTGTGGGTAATTTTGAATGGTTATAATTGTGTAAAAATTCCTCTTTAAAGTTGATAATAAAATTTGCAAATGTCGTGCGACCGAAGCGCATTTCTAGCTTGAACCTAATCAACCCTAAATGATTGAAAATAAGGATGTAGGAACACCTGAATACCTTAGGTGATCTAGAACCTATGGGATCTGACACAGGTAAACTTTTGCAATTGAATTAAGATAAGAACAAATGGTAAAATCCACAATAGTCTTGATTTGAGTGCCACTGCTTGATGGGACTAAATAGATGAATCACGTGTTTGATTACTAAATCAGTACCCTGGATATTTATAATAATTTATTTGCAACATTAGCGACTGCGTGGAAATTTTGTTGCCAACTTTTTTTATGAACTGATAAGATCCAGATTTGTGACGTTTTATATTAGCGTTAATATTTGGTTTTGTTCACGAAAATAATTATATAAAAGTTAGTATACAGTATCTATCTATATCACGATTTTACAGTTACAATTATAAGAATATATACAATGTCAGGAAAATATCAACTTACTCTATGAATTTACTATTATACTATTATAATTATAAAAATGTTAACTGATGTCAATCCCTCAACGAGCACCAATTAAGACGACAAATGACGTTACATCCCAGCTCCTTCGTTCTACCAGGGGTGATCTGAACCGGATCACACCTACCAGATCACCCTAGCTTAAGTTTCTTTGTTCTGCATGTTTTCCTTTGTTCTGTAACATTTTGGCGGGAATGTCAAATTCACAATAAAACTTAGAAATATTTATAAGGAAAAGACTAACCATCAAAATTTATGTAGGAAAAAACCAGTGTCTATGCTTGGAATCGAACTCAAGACCTTTAGCATATAGACCCACGATTCATGCCCCTTCACCAGGACGACTGGACAGAAAAAAGGCAACGTTAGTATACCGCTGTTCGAAAGTCATAAATCGATTGAGACAAAAAAAAATCCGGGTTATATACTAAAACCGAGGGAAAAACATCAACTATAAGAGGAAAACAACGAAACAAAAGAAACACTGAAGTGAACAAAAAACAAACGACAATGCAACACACACAGAAACAAACTATAAGATAACAACTGCCATTTTCCTGACTTAGTACAGGACATTTTAAGAAAAAAATGGGGGGTTGAACCTGGTTGTGTGGATTGCCAAAACATGACTGGGTCAACGCCACAAAAGTGACGTCACAGGTAAATTTCTAAAAGTTTTTTGATACTGTTCAAGATCAAGTTTGTAACTATGTCATTTGATGTATTTTATAACAATTACAAGAATATTAATATAAAATTGTGTTAGTAATTAGAATTAGATAATTAATTGTATTATCTAGCTATGTCGGTATTATTTCTAAATCAAACTGTAAAACAAATAAATAGTGTACATATAGTTGCTGTAAACGTAAATCCTAGAAATGAACTGGGTGATAAATTATCTTTACTTTTACATACGAATAGAAAATAAAAAAAAGGTTGTAGAATTACAACTACAAACGATAAGACATTTAACTATATCCGATCAGAATTAAAAATACAACATCTTAACTAAATACATGAATGTTGGATAACAAATACCGTGACACGTCTTATAGTAATGCGAATTGACACTTAGCAAAACAGTCATATTCGGGAATAGGTCATGTTCGGTACTTAAAAGACCAGACGACGTAAATGGTAAAACACAATCTAAGACGTGGTAAAAATGTCCTTAGTTAGTTTAGACACAGACACATCGTTTGAAACTTACTGGTAATTTAACATATTTAAACATTGTATCCGAGGTTCATAAAGGGTATATTCTTACCTTTCATACCTTTAGCCTCATCGGATCTTTTATTTGCGTATTTAAGGTAATATAAAGTTGGACTTCAAAGGTGTACATAATTATTGACCTTATACAGATAATTAATCCTTTTAAAACATTTAATGTTTCACAAATAACACATGGATACAAAGTATAATCATTTCTTAAAACATTGGAAAAAATTCATTCTGATTGGTATAGTGGTATTGTCATAAAGTGCGTTGAAATGAAACGTGGTATAGCAAACATCGAATTCCCTCACAAATAGTTATCACACACTATAGTGTATTGTTTACACCTTTATTTACCAGCAATCGCCATTATTAACTAAGTTAATTTTATAGTTTATGTTTTATACTTATACATATTACGTAGTAGAGAATTGATAAGAAGTAGTGGATTCGTAAACGATAATCAAAAAGCGACTTTAGTCGCAAGTTGATTATCGTTTCCGAATCCACTACTTCTTATCAATTCTCTAACTTAACCCATTTCTAGTAAAACGACTGTCTGAATTACGTTTTGTCAATGAATCAACGATATTTCATAAAAATAGTTTCGTATTTTGTCTTTTTTATTCTATAATAGCTGGAATTGATTATATCCACACGGTTCGCATCTATATTTAGAGATTTGACAAGTTAACATAAGTTTAATATAACTTAAATTGGGTGTTAGCTCCCCTTTTTAACACCAGATTTTTATTTTTGTACATGTATATACATATTTCATTTAATGTTTAATCATTACAAATTATTTAAATTGAATAGATTTTGGTACATTTAATTTATTCAAAAAGACATCTATTAATATACAGTATTTATTTATCTTGTTTTGAAAAGTTAAAAAATTTTAATTACCAAAATTTAGAATCTTAAAAATTCATATATATAATATCTACCAACTTGATTTGGTATATTGAAGACTAAACACCGATAAGCCGTTCTTAGACAAATAAATATTATTAACGTAGATGCCATAAATCTGCCATTTCATAATGCTCTAATTCATGTTGCTTTCCTAAAGTATTAAAATTATGTGCTTATGATTTAAATTGAACAATTATATTTAAATTTTGTTTAAACTGTTTCCGTTTCATTAAGTTAAGATTATTTTAACGTTATTACATTTGGCATATACGTTAACCGGTCAATAAACTAGTTTTATCTGTGGTACGCATTCTGAATCCCCATCAGAATTGCTCTTGCTACGGATGTACAATGAATTATTATGTTGATTTCATAAACTTACCATCAAGCTGTTCATAGCCGGGATCGTCTAGTCGTTGGTTACGAATATCATAACGGTGATATTAATAGTGCAAAGTTCGAACCTTGTACCCGGAATGAATTTTTTTTATTATAATTTTTTTTCTGGACCACAATATTGTTTTAATCCTAGAACATGTAGAAGTATTATATATTTCATTTTCATATAATGGCGACGATTTTGTTTCTGCTTTTACTGTCAAAGAAGTAGTTTTAACCCATTTCTTTAAAAAAAATAACACCCGAAATAAAACAAATTCAATAAACATGAACAAACCAAGATATATATATTTCATTAGATTACAAAAGCGAATTATCAATGAGACAGAAATACAGTTAAATGACATGTATTGACAATTAAGAGCTTTAAGAGTACTATTCATGTGATGATGGATGTCAGCCATTGTGGTCTAGTGGTATCATGCATAGACTGAAGACTCTATTAATTATGAAGAAAATACGCGCGAGTTCGAATCCTACACATGATTCTCGTTTTTGAGAGGATAAAGATCGTAAGTTAAAAGTTTAAAGTTATAATATAAGTTCTCTTAAGTTAATACTGTGGTCAGTGGATTCTTGAAAAATAATCTACAGTTAGAACAATAGTCTGACGTCAGAGAAATGGGTTAAATACAGTCTACATAATTGTACATTTTTTGTAGTAGTATTTTACTCACCACAGATTGTGTTTCTTTATAAGTTCACATACATTTACTTCACAAATAATCCTTCATCGGTTCGAAAGTGTTCGGAGCACGTGTCCTGTCGATGTCAATACCTAACAGGCATTTAACCGGGAATGCAATTTAAAAACAAAAGATTTCATAATTGGTAAAATTGAGAATGGAAATAGGGAATGCGTCAAAGAGAACAATCCGACCAAAGAGCAGTAAACAGCCGAAGGCCACCAATGGGTCTTCAACACAGCAAGAAAATCCCGCACCCGGAGGTGGGTTTCACCTGGCCCCAAAACAAAAATGTGCACTAGTTCAATGAAAATTGACGACACACTAAACTCCAGAACATATAAATGAACTAAAATTAAAAAAAAACATACAAGACTTACAAAGGCCAGAGGCTCCTGACTTGAAACAGGCGCAATAATGAGGCGGGGTAATCTTTTATTTACACGAGCTAGGATTTGAACTTTAAACAGTGCAAGCGGTTACAAAGAAACACAAATAACAGTTATATATATTTTCATAATTGTATTTAAAAAGGACAAATTTATATGAAAATGTAAAATTTCACGGTGTGTAGAATACAGTAACTAACTGAAAACAGCTGCTGGTTTTTATATTTAATATACTATGTAGAGAGTACTTTTCTTTACCCATTTTTTATTTTGCCTGGCAAACAAGTTGTGTAAAATAAAAGCAGGGACCCCTCTGTCAGCTGTCCTGGACTGCTTAGGGTTTATGTGTCCTGGTGATTTGAAATATAAATTAGTATTCACAAGAAAAATAAATAAATGCAGTACATTTACATGACCATTCTAGTGCAAATTATATTGATATTTTATCGTTTTGGTATGAAGATTATATTTAT